CGCGGTCGACCGCCAGCTTTAAAACCCTGTTCTCAGATTTTTTTGTGCCTCGCGGTCGACCGCGAGATTTCACGGTCGACCGCGGATTTCCACGGTCGACCGCCGATGTCATCATTGCTTTTTAACGGCTATTTTTACAACGGTTCTCTGGGGGCTTTTTGATCATTTCAAGTTGGTTTTTGCTGAGTTTTTGAGTGGGTATAAATACCTCATTGCTGCTCTCTTTCACAATATCTAAGTTTTGTGTTTAACAAAATCTTAAGTATGTTTAAAAGAGCTGTTTAAGCTGATTTCATTAGTCTGTTTTGAAAAGAAGTTTTCCTACTACAAGAAGAGGATTTTTAATCTCATCATCCACTGTTCTTCTTGTCTATGGAGAAGTTTTCTCTAACTCATCTTTACATATAGCTTTCTACTTAATTTTCATATCTTAGCTATATTTATTGAGTTGTATTATTTTTATTCACTGTTATCACATACACATATTGAGCTTAATATCTTCATACTATATAGTGTGGGTTGTAAAGTGTGATTTAGTGAGTGTGAGCTTCATTTGCGTTCTCATTTGTTAGTGAGAACAAATCATTGTATTTAATCTTTATTTTGTGAGTATCACTTGTAATACACTTATACACCAAGAGAAGTGTGAGACGAGAGACGGGGTCGAATCCAATAGGAGTGGCGTCGGTTGACGAACCTAGGAAGAGGTTGCACCCGAGCACTTGAGGAGGAGGACACGGGCTAGGTTCCTACACTTAGTGTGTAAAGTGTGATTAATTAGTGATTGTGTAGTGTGAGAGTTTTCGGTGATCTTGTAAACCGAGTGTGTAGAAGTTCCGACTTCCAAACCGGATTGTGATAGTGGATATCTCCTCGAGGTGAGGAGCGGGGACGTAGGTCGTGAGGACCGAACCTCGTAAACATATCTTGTGTTTGTGCTTGCTTATCGTATATTTTTATTTGTGCTTTTTTCTTATCGTTCTTATTCATATCTATCTCTTGCTAGAACAAATTGATCAACATTATTTTAATTGGAATTTAATCGGGATTAGATTAGCATAAGACCCTAATCACCCCCCCCCCCCTCGGGTCTAACACGTGATGCCTTCGAAACGGATGTAGTGAAAAACTCTTTCATGATAAGGAATTAACAGTACGAAGATCAAAATCGACATCCAAAGTATTTCAAAAATTCGTACCAGTCAACCGCGATCTTTCAAAAACTTTGGAGGGGATTTTGTAGGTTGTCTAAAAACATTGCAGATAGCCGATCCTCATAAAGCACTGATGATGAAAGTTACAATCTGACGACTTTCACAACAGACGAGAGTTACAAATTGACGACTCTCACATTTTCAAGAATCAAATATAAGGATTACAAGCTGACGATCCTTGTAAAATTCGAGATTACAACTGACGATCTCTTCAAGGCCAAACGCGATGGTGCTCCTTCGCGTTCCCAGCTTCAAACACGAGGCTCACCTCCGCATTTCAAAAGCCAAACGCAGGGCTCACCTCCGCATTTCACAGAATTGAACACGAGGCTCACTCCTAAACGCGAACCTCACGTTTGACTATTTCAAACACGATTTGAACGGTTTCAAAATCGTTTTTCACATAATGGGACCATTAAACCCTTATTATGGAGCGAATTAAGGGGTCAGTTACACCCCTTAAACCCTATAAATAGCTGGATTTATTCGCTGAAACATGGAACTTGGTTAAGGCTTTTGTTAAGGCTTTTGTTGGAGCTTTGGAGATCATTTGCCTTAGCTTTTTGAACCATTTTCGGTTAAAGAACTTTGAGATTAGTTGTTTAGCTTATTTCACCTAAAAAGTATTAAATTTTCTTTCTGAAATTAACTCTCTCGCAGAGTTCTTAAACTCGTTTAGAGTTCTAAATTTGCCTTGCAAGTTCTTCCCGACGTAAAAGTCAAGAGGAAAAAACAACGTTCCACAAAGCGAAGTGCTCGAATCGTCAATGAGAACAAGATTCAAGCCCTCATAGTCACCAAGAAGAACTCGGTTTTAAACAAAGAGAATGATCCTCGTTGATTCTTCTCTCTTTTGTAAATCGGGAAACCAATAAGAAAAATTGTAATTTTTTTTTTCTAAGTTATACAAAGAATCAAAGAAACAATCCTAACATGAGATGTTTCATATTTTCCCTTTATTTCTTCTGTGAGATATTTTTAGGCTGTTATACAAAAATTATTTTGCAAATTTGTCTAACAAAGATTTAATTTGGCGGGTTTGTTGCCACGAGGCTGCTCCAGCGGTAGCTACTTTTAACAGCATTTTTATCAAACAAATATCCGTTTCATCTATTCAAAAATTAAGATGCAACCCATCATCCTTTCATCTCTTTAAACCCGGCTATCGCAATGTCAGGCTGTTGCTTCTGCTGACAAGTTCTCCTAATCTTTGATCGTATAGACCTTGGACTCATCAATTATTTTCATATATTATAAAGCCTGGCTATTTCAATAATTCACAATTGAACACAAAGGCCATGATTCTTAAACAAGTAAATTAGGAAATCATTCCGTCTATAGAGTTAAATCTCTTTATACTCTCTTTTGCTATCTAACATTAGCAAATCTTTCACACCATAATCCCTTTCGACCATTCGTAATTATCCAAAATCCCATTAAATTTGCTCTCATCAGTTATCAAATCCTAATCGATTTGAGAATCCACGCTCAAGATCGCATCTTTACCGAAACCCTAAGTTGAATTTCCTATGATATTAGAGATCAGTAGCTCTACAATTTTCTAGGATTTGATCTCATAAAAGGACAACGGCAATTCTACAGAATACCAATTTATATTCAAAAAAACAAATGAACTCACAACTAAACTAAGCCCCTCATGGGAGTCCCGTCGAAAAATACACACAAGCTCATTACCATATCGCACTTGACATGGACAGATTCTCCCAACAATTTCATGCCAATAATATCATTGACGAGGAATACAGAATGTTATGTAATAACTGTACTAGCACCTATACAGAATTGCTGTCCCAATTGTACCATTCCCTCCTTCCAATATGTTACTGAAATTTTTGAAAAAACAATATTTGATAATAGTTAATTCACAAATACATGATATGCATGAACACTACTTCATAGTATGCTACGGATTCAGTCATCAAGTTCTATAACAATGAACCACCTCAGCTGCTTATAGTTTCAACGGCAACCCTGAGATAAAGGATCCTTCTTAAGGTTAGTCATGAAGTAGACACATTAACATGCTTGTGTAGTTATGATTTTTATGCATGCAGCGGTAAACCACCTCACAAATTATCTGATAATAACACCAAAACCTTTATCCCAAATTTTTGGGCTTGACTTTACAAATCATATTCTTCCTTTATCCTTCTTAATTGCTTCCAACTAGGGGTGCTAAACCGTATCCGTATCCGAGAAAATATCTGTAACCGTATCCGTTAGGATACGAATATGGTTATTCAAATCTATAACCGATAGGATATGGTTACGGATATGGTTTCGTAGTGAAATATCTGTATCTGTATCCGAAATATCCGAATACATATTAGTCATACTCTTACGATAGTTTCGATTCTTAGATTATGGATTTGTGGTTAATTTTGATAATCAATATGTCTAATCTTAACTTTTCAATTATAATTGACATATTAACAAACTCTTTTGTATCACATGAACTATGTTTTTCTCAATACTATCTGGTTTTCTCATATCTGTTTTGTATCTACATGCATATCCGCTTATATATCCGCATGTATATCTGTAACTGTATCTGATTTTAGCGGATATGGTTATAAATTTTTCTTACCGAGGTATATCCGTATCCGTATCCGAGATGGGTAAGCGGATATGAATATGATAAGCATCATATCCGAGCCGTATCCGGACCGAATGCACCCCTACTTCCAACCAAGTTCTCTTGGCCATCACAGGGTCCTGAGATGACAAGAACATAAAAACATCAGAACTTATAAAACCTTTCTATGAAAGCAATAATCGTACTTTTTAATTTGTTTCAAGCTTGCAATATTATTTGCATGCAAAGTCAAAAAACTTATCGTAAGGGGAAATCCTACCCGCTGGATAAACATAAATAAGATCGTTCTACTTTTATCTAATCTCGATATCTAGTGAAGCAAACATACATAGGCATTCCCTACCTCCAACTGCAACACTCTTTTCTACCCCGCGATGGACCAACTAAATTACATCTCTGACACTACATAACTTGTAACACGATATTCAACTACTGTTTAAGAAAGGGAAATTTTGGTTGAAGCCCTTCTTTGTAGTTCTATTTGAACTAAGCCTCTCATCGAAAGAAGTATGTGGGATTCTTTTTATTAAAAAAAACTTTAACAAAAACACTGCAGTCCAGTTTATAAATAATACAGAATATGTGCATTATCACTACATACTAACATTTTGATAAGGAAAAACATTACTTGCAAGATAACAACCATCTCTCCCACCATATTTTGGTCACATATTCTTCTCTTGCTCCAATAGAAAACAACTCAAACCACTATTTACACACTCATAAGAGACATTATATATTGCTTTAGATAGGTTTTGCGCCCTAATTTCGGTAATCCTGATCAATGGATGATCAAGATGACTCGAGCTATACCAGGTGCTCAAGATGATGCAAGACAATAAAATTCTAATAACTAGAACGACTAAAAAATTTTATATCGACCTTATTTGCAAGATCCAAGCCCCATTTGCTCGGAGGAACTAAGATTTGAAGATTGAACTTGAGCTCAACAACTCCACTATCATCATTAAAGATCGGAATCTCTCTTATTAATAGTGCCGTCTTTCTTACTAAAGAGAAGGAACAAAACAGACAGCCCTCCAACAGAATGGCACTCGCCCAACCAGTTTCCATGACTCAGAAAAGGATCGTGCAAAAATGACTATTGTATGAAAAGGAAAAAAAAGAAGGAGATGATTGGAAAGGAAATTTGAAATTTCTGAAAAGTATATACGAAAAAAGAGAAACAAATGTATAGTTATTTTCCTCCAATGTTACCCAGCCATCATCCTTCATTTATCTTTTTTGTGAGTGACTCCTAAAGCTTCAATTTCACCAGTACAGTAGGCGCAAATGTAAGCAAGTCATAGTACAAGACTTCCTTTCCAGATGATACGAAAATAAATCCATTCAAAAAATTTTAAAGTTGAATAAAGTAAGGTCTAAATAACATAATGGAAAGTGATCAATATGTCCCTTGTAATATATGAGCCTATGTGTCTACTTGGCTGCTCTTCTCAGAAGGTGTAATTGGTTGCACTCGATATGGTAATCAAAGTGTAACAAGAAAAAAAGGAGAAATGGTCACTAAAGAAAGAAATAAACCCAGGGCATCGGCTCTCGAAATCATTAAAACCATTGATCTAAGTTGTGAATTATGAACAAAAGCGAAAGGGAGAAGTTGGAGGAAACTTCTACTCAAAATCTGCATGATGTAAAAAAGATTAGCTCTAATGTATTAGACAAACAAGACACAAGTTTCACAAGCTTATACTATGCACAAAGAAATATGTTCGCTAAAATCAAGAAAAGTTTAGGGTTAAATATACTTTTGTAGTTATTTCTCAGTTCATACATGAAAACATCATGATTGTAACTTTAAAGAGGGAAATTCACTGATCATCAATAATCACATTTGTATATTTCCTCTTCTGAATTCACAGTTAGTTGCAGAAAGTTTAAAGAGGGAAATTTACTTGATTGTATAAGAGACTTCAGTAAAATATTCAATGCAGCTATAACATGTTGTTCCAAGAAACCAGCCAAGGATTTGTTAAGGGCTAGTATCACCCACTCAAAGAAAAACAAGAGTAAATGTCTACAAAAAGGGTAGACAATATAAGAAATTACCAAAAGTTAACAAAAGAAACAAAAACATATGTTCAGGCTAGAATAAGGTGATTCAAGAATCAAAAGATACATATATTCTCAACTAAATAAGAAATCTTCATCTCCAAGCCTGTTTTTCTAATTTTGCTACAAAACCTTGATTACATCGTAAGTTCCCATGATTCATGAGCTAATATATTCCCTCCACCCACAACACCCCCACCCCCCCACCCCAAAAAAAAAGAGAAAAAAAAACAATCAACATCCTTCATTGTTCTATTCAAGGCAATATGCATGTAAACCTGAAAACCATATCTAGATTGTAAGGGTGAATTGCAGATAATCCCCCTCGTCCATGGCTTAAATAGCACTCAGCGCCCCTCAACTATTTTATTAACACTTATGACCGCCACATAAAATCTTATAACTAAACAGATTCTGAAGTAATAAGTTATTAATCTCATAAAATCAAAACTTACCTTGAACAGAGCTCCCCATAAAATATCTGGAACAAAAACCAACTCGAGTTATTCTGGTGTTCTAATTTCTGTGTTTGCATTTATAAGGCCTGTACAATGTCCAAAAAGCAACTGATATACGTGCTTGGAACTACCAACTGATATTCACTCATTCTCCAAAATTAGCTCAAGAACCTTCCATATAAAGGATCTTAGAACTTGTCAGCCATGAAAACAGTGTTCTAGATTCATTGATTCATAATGACCATTCAATGTACCACCAAATTTCGGCAAATTATGTTCCAATCTTACCACAGCACATAGAGCCTTAACCCATTCATGCAAACCACTATGAGCATTATTTTTCCTCAGCAATTCTAAATGTTTAATAGCCTTCACTGATGCACCTCTTTTAAGCAAAACATCTCCGAGCAATCTAAATGTAGCATCATTAGGTTGCACACCGGAGGCCAACATCTGCCGAAAATTTAAGACAGCCTCCTTCATTCTCCCATCTGATGCATATAAACTGATCACATTATTGCAGCTCAGTGTTTCAGTAAGAAGTCCATGTGTTTTCATATCTTGGACAATCTCATAAGCTTTACTGAAGTGGCCTAACTTCTTATACAAACACAACATCATCGCATGAGAGAACTCATTTGCCTCTCCTCTTTGCTTCAGATTCCAGAAAACTTCCTCAGCGTTTTGCAACATAGAATTCTCAGAATAAAGGTCAATCATGCAATTAGAAGAGTAAACATCAGGGACATCACCCAATGCTTTTAGAAGTTCATAAGTTTCTTGTGCCTCTTGCAAGTATCCAATTTTGGTATAGAGCTTGATCAAAGAGTTGCATACAATAGCATTAGGCTCAAAACCAGAACTTTTCATCGATTTAACGTAGCTCAGGGCTTCTGCAACACTTCCAATTTCAGTAAATCCATTAATAAGGGCAGAGTACACAACAATATCAGGTTTCAAGCCAAGCCCAACCATCTCTTGGAATATTTCTTCTGCTTTTTGCAAATCACCTTTCCTAGAAAAGCTCGTTATTACCATGGACAATGGGATGCAATTGTTTATAAAACCCATAACCTGCATTCTCTTTAGATACAGTGCTGCTTCACGAGGCAACCCGCCACTCGATAAGATTTGTATGAGTGAAGTATATGTGCATTCATCGGGTAAAGTACCATGACTCTTCATGTTATCAAATAAGTCACAAGCCTTACCATACTCTCTACATACCCCATAGGCTTTAATCATCACGTTGAAGACAAGGACGCTTACTTTACCCCTATCCAAACAGCGATCAAAAGCTTTCTCTGCTAAATTGATGTGGCACTTCTCACCAAAAGCATCTATATTAGCAGCAAAACATTCTGAGCTCATATTATCACAAAATCTCTCAAACCAAGACCAAGATTTCTCAGGCATCTCAACTCTTACATACATCCGAGTTAAAGCTGACTGGGTATATTCATCAATCTGAAGTCCCTGCTCTCCCATCTCCATGACCAACAATTCGGCTTCACCAACCATATTCCTTATAGAAAAGGCATATAGAAGAGTTCGGTAACTAACAATATCAGGTACAAGACCATCTACCTTCATCTTCAAAAAGTAGCCAGCTGCAGTATTAATATCATCACTCTTCGTATAAAGCGATATGAGAATATTATATGTCCTTGTGTCAGGAAAGCAGCGGATTTCTTCCATCAATGACATTAATGCACCAACTTCTTGTAAAAAACCGTGGTTTCCGCACACATGAATCATAGTATTAAAGGTAACTACATCAGGAGCAATGCCTTCTCTTAACATTCGAGCAAAAGTGTCTGAAGCTTGCTTAAGCTCCCCAGCCTTTCCATAAGTATCAATCAGTGTATTGTAAGTATATAAGCTGCAGCCTCGGCGAGATTCTAGGGAATCGTCATCAATAGCAACGGACGACCATTTCTTAAAGAATTCTTCAGCTTTTCGGAAGTCCCGGGCTTTCTTACAGGTTTGAACAACAATCCCCATCGTCACCTCATCAGGCTCCATTCCTTGCTTGTACATCTCCCCTAACCAAACAAGTGCTTCCCTCTGCATTCCTCCTTTAGCATAAGCATCGATCAAGGTCCCATAAGTTGAATTTGTGGCTGTAACTCCACTGGATTTCATCTCAATCCATAGAAACTTCATGAGATCCCATCTCCTAGCTCTCCCTAGAGTCCTAAGCATGATATTGTAGTGAATCACATTAATCTCATAACAACCCTTGCTTTTGAACCAATCAAAAATCTGAAGAGCTCTTTTCCAATTGGTCTGTTCTTTGAGGATTATGGTCCTCTCCTTGCTGCTAAGGCTTCTCTCCCACGGCTTTAATGCCTCATCGAGATCCTCAACAGCATTCAAAGATTTCAAAATCGAGGGGATTGATCCACCATAAGAAACCCATTTCGTTGAAGGCTTTGATTGAATCTTGCCCACCAATTTTTTGGTGCCAAGTTTCAGTTTTGATCTCTGCCCATTATTTCTTTTCAAAGGTAGAGCTAGATTCCAGAACAAAAACTGGTTTTTGGGTTGTTCGTGGTTTCTGAATGTGAAATTAGGGATTTGGACTAAAGCGCTAATAGAGGAGATCAACATTTTCTATAGTGGGGTTTGGGCTGGGTCATCTAGAATCAATAAGCTCAGCAACAAAATAAGTCTAGAAATATGAAGAATTTTGAAGGAAAAAACCTCGCAAACTATTAGGGTTTTGATGTCAAGGAGAACTCACCTCATCCTCTAAAACCCTAATTCTGTCCGAAAACCACTTCGCTTGCCTCTTGCGGGGAGGGTTCTCCGTTCCCTTGCTTGAATGGATTTTTTTTATCCATACAAGAGAAGTGACTTTTGCAAAAGAGCCCCTGTGTCTCTATGAACCCCGGGTCTCTCCTGGTTGAGTGCATTTCGCGAAATCCAAGTTTATTGGGTAAATTTAACAGAGCGACAAAGTTTGGGGCGCTTCCCACAAAACTCCCTCAAGGACTTTTAGTTCCGCACAAAACCCCCTGAAGTTTTTCCTAGGAACACCCCCTAGTTAACACCGTCGGTTCTAACTCTGCATATGTGAGGATCTGAATCCTCTGTCGAATCTGGTGTTGCTGTTTCTGGCCATGATGAGCCTGAAACAAACTAAAGGAAGTGGTGATAGAAAGAACTGGGAGAATTAAGAAAATTAAGAGGGAACGTAGATAGGAATTGAGAATGAGAGGAAGAAATTTAGTGAGAAGAAGAACAGAGACTGAAATGGAGAAGAAGAACAGATTCTATTTCATTTCTTTCCTGATTATTTCAGTTTTACAACTTCTCTTTTATACATCAGCTCTAAAGCAATGAAAATCAAAACGTGCATAAAACGTGCACGAGCTTAACAACAAACAGAAACAGATTAAACTGTCTGTAACAGTTTATTGACTTTTATACAATTGTCCTTGTAGTTAAAAAGGTTTGCATAACAACCCTCCACATATTGTATATCAGTCCAGTCTTCTTTCAACATCCATGTTCGCCAGCTCTCCCGTCGAGTCTCTAAGCTTCAGCTCACTTGACAGGTTTCCTGACAATTGACTCAATTGACAGGGCCCTTGGTTGTTCATCAGGTCCTGACAATTCCCTCCCCTTAAATTGGACCTTGTCTCAAGGTCAATGGTAGGTAACTGTTTAACCAAATCCAATAAATTCCCAAGTTCCTTTATAGGGTCAAAGTACTGAATGACCATTACCAGATCCTTCACATCCTTTGCTAAAGTTTCAGGCAAGGAATGAGTTTTCCGAAGGGAAATGGAAGAAGATATGATGGTCGAATCAGACAATGGTGCATAACTACAAGCCATAGCCAAAACCAGCAGACAAAAGACCAATTTGGATCTCTTAAATGACCAACGTTTAAAGGGTCCAACTTCGTTTCCAGTTTCAAAAACAACAGTTTCATTAACAGACTCTACCTCTTTCAGAAAATGACAATGCTCCACGACACTAGGGGTGTTAAATGTATTTGCTCTGGCTCCGAGTGCCATCCATCTATATGTTCCAGTTTCTGCCGTTATGACTCCCCCTTGATTCTGAAATCGAGCTACACGGAGGTCTGCCACTTTCACAACATTGTCATTGTCCATTAGCAAGTTGGTTGTCTTCAAATCCCTATGAATTATGTTGTTCTGGTGCAGATAGACCATTCCTTTGCATACATCAAGTGCAAACTTCAGCAACAGAGAAAGTTCCAGCATGTTATCCTGCTTGTGAAAAAAACTATAAAGACTTCCTCCAGGCATGTACTCTATAACTATGCAAAAATTTGGAGGTTTTGCACATGCACCAATAACACGCACCATATTCCTATGTTGAACTTCTCTCAAGATCATTACTTCTTGAGCTAATTCATCCCCTGAAAGCTCAGTTTGTTGTTCTGATTCCCGAACCTTCACCAAGTAGTCATACTCAACTTGAAATTCTCCATTGTCATCCAAATTTGTTCCACATATAACACTTGGCTTCTTTCTGGCAAGAACCTGAGGTGATTCAACATGAGGATTTGAGCTAGCATCAACGTATGCCACAAGACCACCAACTTTTTCCTCAAGCTCGGCCCTCGAAATCCCATCAAGAGGCAGTGCTAAAAAAACCTGAGCCTCCGGCGATCCGTTCAAAGCATACAACTTCATCTTCTTAGTCTCCTTCTTCTTGCTTGAGATTGGCCATGGTGGCTTCTTGAGTTTTGGCTTTCCCTTGCTTGATTCTATATCTCCTGACATTGGTATTTCCCTGTCCTCTCTTGATTTCTTTGAAGTATCAGAAGTATCATCGAAGGATAATTTTCCAAGATTGGAAGCTCTGTTTCGTGGGCCACCTCTAGGTCTTGAAACATCTTTGCTGCCTGAATCCTTGCCACTTTTAGATTGTGCTTGTGATTTGGATTGTTTTGATGTTATACTCGAACTGCCTTTCACCTTCTTGCTCTGAGAAATTTCTGCCTCACTTGTCACATTTGTAGGTCTGTCACCATCATCAGTATCTTCAGGTTGCTTCTCAGTAACATTCTCTTTGATCGCTTCATCATGGGTCTCACTACTTTCTGAATGATCTTTCTATGCAGATGCAAAAACAGGTGGCTGAGCTATTGCATCAACATCAGTATTCTCCGCACTTGCCTTTGACCCAAGTGGTTATCTTCCTTTGTTTCTTGCAAAGTTTGAAGGATTCTCAACAGAGGTTGGGGAAGCAACAGAAATGTTCTTGGAATAGATCTGACGATCATCCTTTGGCCCCGATCCCAAGATTTCTTAGCCAAGATCCTTAGAAATTTGTATGGCTAATCGACAACAACCATCATAAATGTTGCGCCCTTGTAGAGAATTCATTGTGTCCATCGCATTTTGCTGTGATTAGAATTGGATAAGAGCTTGAAAGCCAACCGACTTCTGAAGGATGACGATCTTCTCTACAAACCCATATGGAGAAAACACTTGATGCAACACTTCCTCCGTTATAGGATAGAGCATTGTGTGAAAGGTGACGAAGAGCATTCGATTGGGTTAATAATTCCGCTCTGCACCCTTCTGAAGAACTGTGGATGGGCTTGACATCTTGTCGAGTGATTGGCTTGGATTCTTGGAGTTCTTGAATTCCTGGACAAAATTCAATCTCTCTTCCTGATTTGCCTTCTCAGTAACAGTTTCTTCAGGATCAGCCATGGAGTCTTCATCAACAGCTTCAGACTCGAGCTTCTCTGATACCAATTGTGAGGATCTGAATTCTCTGTCGAATCTGGTGTTGCTGTTTCTGGCCATGATGAGCCTGAAACAAACTAAAGGGAAGTGGTGATAGAAATAACTGGGAGAATTAAGAAAATTAAGAGGGAACGTAGATAAGAATTGAGAATGAGAGGAAACAGAGACTGAAATGGAGAAGAAAAACAGATTCTATTTCATTTCTTTCCTGATTATTTCAGTTTTACAACTTCTCTTTTATACATCAGCTCCAAAGCAATGAAAATCAAAACGTGCATCAGTTTTACAACTTCTCTTTTATACATCAGCTCCAAAGCAATGAAAATCAAAACGTGCATAAAACGTGCACGAGCTTAACAACAAACAGAAACAGGCAATGAAAATCAAAACGTGCATAAAACGTGCACGAGCTTAACAACAAACAGAAACAGATTAAACTGTCTATAACAGTTTATTGACTTTTATACAATTATCCTTGTAGTTAAAAAGGTTTGCATAACAACCCTCCACGTATTGTATATCAGTCCAGTCTTCTTTCAACATTCATGTTCGCCAGCTCTCGCGTCGAGTCTCTAAGCTTCAGCTCACTTGACAGGTTTCCTGACAATTGACTCAATTGATAGGGCCCTTGGTTGTTCATCAGGTCCTGACAACATATGTCAAGAATGTGTCATCAATTGATCAAAGTACTTCCTGGAGGACAAAAAATCCCCAAGGTATCGTTATTTTTATGTTTAGAGTTGAGAGCAGTTGGATAATTTGATCTTGAACAATGGTGGATTCAGTGGAATAAAAAAAAAGTCCATTTGGAGTTTCATAATAAATGGCTCGGAGTTTTGGGGTTTCTTGTGAAATTTTTGCCAATCTTATTTATCGAATTTAAGTTAAGGCCATCATTAGCAGCATACGTATAAGATATCGTTATTAGAGGAGTGGAATTTGATCCAATATTATCAAACAGTTCAGTTGTTATCTCTCTAACTATTTGTTCAAATTTGATTCAGAGGATTACTTATGGAAAGAAGATAATTTCTGTGTTCAAATATTTAACCATTCGTTGAAACTTTTATCTCCTACAACATATGTTTTACCCCTCTTCAATTTTTTTTAAATTACAATATTGAGATTGATGATTATTTAACTAGTAACTGAAAATAATGGAGCCAAAAAGAAGCATCACTTTTAATTATTATTAGGTAGATTTTGTGTCAATCATACAAAACTCAGAGGAATGTCTATAAATTACCTCCTCTTATAGCTTGAAAATAACTTAGTGATAACCTCTCTTGGGAAACTAACACATGTCCCACACTACGCCTAATTAGACTTGTGTACAACTTGGACGACTCGAGCTGCCCATGCGGTAGACTCTATTGGTTGACAACTCGCGTACCCGAGTAAAAGGCGTTACTTGTCGATCAACCCAACCAGTCGCCTTTGCGAATAACCCACACTCAGCCCGTTATATTAGCCGACAACTTGCGTAGTCGAGTTAAAAAGGCGTTGTTTGTTGGACTTTAGCGGGACGAATGAAGAGTTGGTAGTTTTCTCAAACCCCACGCCGACAGCCGCTTGCCCTTGTATTAATTACCCTAACAAAGTCATCATTGCTCTAGTTCTCAAAGTCTTTATGACTTATCAGGCTCCATCAGTAGCAATTAGCTGTTGTCACATAGCACTAAGCACATGGATGGCCCATTTTCGCCAGCAGCTGATACATGTCAGCTGTCTACCGAATCAACTGGCTACCTGGTCTCGGCTCAAGTTGTTGGACCCTAGAGGGGGGGTGATTAGGGTCAAGAGGCTCTAATATGCAATTAAAAACAGCACAAGCAAAACACAAAACAGAAATGCGATAAGAATAAGAGAGATAAGGTTAGGAGTTCGTTATCCTTGACGCGCGATGTGTTAACGAGGTTCGGCCCTCTGGCCTACGTCCCCGCTCCCCACTCTCGAGGAGAAATCCACTACACACCCGGTTTGGAAGCCGGAACTTCGTCTACACAGCGATCTCCACAGATCTCTCTCACTACACAGTTTGATCTCACAGATCACACTCCCTCACAGTAGATCTCCACAGATCTCACTCACACAGCAGAAGAAAGAATTGCAAGAAGCTCTCTTTACACAGCCCTTATAGCAAAGAGAAAGTA